TTAAATAAATATATTTTTTAATATTAAATAAAAAGTGTTTTAGAAGTTTTAAGTCTTGAAAATAATTGAATATGTGAGTGTATGTGTATTCATTTAGGTTATATAAGCTAAACCAATATTAATATGATAAACTGATTTTAAAATAAGTATTTGAGTTAATTATTAACATATATCATTTGTTATCAATAAATAATATATTGCAATAATGATCAATATATTATTATATATCAATAAATAATGTATTAATAATGATTGATTATTATTGATATGAATATTTATTAAAAATTATTGGAGTTATTGATTAATATCAATATCTCAGAGAGATATTTATTGATTTTTATAGATATGGCAATGATTCTTGATGAATATCTCCCCAAAAAATTTCCTGATATTATTATTATACTAGTATATATAACAAATAAAACAAAGTTATCTCTAATGATAATTTTTAAATTATCAAAAGTATCATGACAAGAATTTTCTTCAGGTATAATTATAAGAGCAAATCCAACAGGCTGAATTAATGAAAGAGAGATGATTTTTTGAATTGAAAATATATAAAATTAGCACATAAAATTTTTAATTAATTATCATTCTCTTTTGATTTTGAATTCTTTTTTTGATCATATTATTAATTTGATTACTTATCATTTTAAAGAAAAAAATACAACTATTGCTATTATTCCAGATGAATTAACTTCTAAAATTCAACCTTTGGATATTTCTATCAATAAATTATTTAAAGTAAAGATAATTATTTATAAATTAAATTATATATTATATAAATTTATTTAAATTTATTTGTAAATTCATCATTATTATAATGAATAAATGTCTAATAATATCAAAAACTATATCAAAACTGGTCAAATTCAACACCCACCTTACAATTTAATTGCCTAATAGATTTGCGATACATAGAATCAAGTTGATTCCTTTCTTATTCAAAAATCTTTCAAAGTTTGTGATATTTCAAATTCTTGAGATGAAAAAAAAGATCAATTAATTTTTGATTATAAACGAGTTGGATTATGAAATCAAGAATCTTTTAATATAATTGCTGAATTTAGTAATAATAATGGTGAAGGATCTAGCAGAGATGAAGAGATAAATTTTTAAATTCAGAAAAAAATGTAGAAAATAATCAAGAAAATGAGTTTTATGAAGCTAATCAACTTAGTTATATCAATGATTGGAATTAATAATTAGGTTTTTTAATTTTCTTTATTAATACTAGTTTAAATAAATTCAAATTTTTACTAAGGTATAATATAGATCCGGGTACAATATATGGGGGGTATTCTATACAGTAATTTACGGTACGTGATTAAAGATCGACAATGCAAGTGGTGCGTTATTTTTGCATGCCACTGTTAAAAATTTACATAATCCGGATTTATATAATCCAGAATTATTAATTCAGATTGTGTTATGATCCACTATCTGGTTTTAGTGTTAAGGTCAGTGTATATACTAATTTATTAACGTTAAGCAAATATGTGTAACAATTAGAGTTGTAAAACTGTCAATATTAACAAATAATTTACAAGTGTGTACGTATTGAACGTTATTCAGGTTGCTCAATTACTTTTACCATATTCGTATGTAAGTCATCGCTTATGTTAAGCTTCAATCCACATTCCTCTTCCATGAATTCTCGCAATTTCTCGCCAACAAATTCCCAATGATGCACATTATTGTGTTCTGCATGCAATACTCGTAAATACCACGCTTTCAAATCCTTTCGAGCATATAGCGTGCCTTCCCGTTCAAATTCAATAACAGTCGTTGTTGCTGATACTGTATCGTCACTTTTATGCGAAGCAAGATATTGCTCAAATAATAAATGCGAAAATGACGCAGGTATATCCATGTCTTTACGGGAATGTAAAATCAGCAACGGCATGTCGTGAATATTCTGCACCAAATAAATCCATTAGTCAATTTATCCGTTTACTTAATTAGATTATGGAATTTTATATTAAAACCTTTATGTTTTCTGAATTGTTTAAAGGATGGGCCAAAGATTTTCGGAAAAAATCTAATAATTTTGACAATAGAAAATGATGAATATTGAAATCACTTTCAATGGTGTTCGAAACTAGATATACCTAATATCTTTGGATATTTCAAGAAAGGTTTCATGAAAGGTATTTTCCTATAGGCAGTCATCATGTCTCCTACGGATGTGAAAGGGGCTTCGAGAATAAGAGCAAGGGGTCTAATTCCTTGATGAAGTGGAAGAATTAGTAAACCGTAATAATTAACTCACAAGAATGACAAATGAATTCTATACCTTCAGCTGAAAGTTGACGAGCAAGCTTTGTAGCTATTCCAGAACCTGAAAATAATATATTGAATTATTTATCAAGCAGATTACGAAATATACAAATTACGTTATATCAATTTAAAGCTTACCAAGTGAATGTCCATAAATAATCACTTTATTTGCTGGGACTCGTTCAATTACCCAATTAAATACAGCTCTTGAATCAATAAGAACGCCTTCTTCGGAAGGAAACCCCTCTTAAAAAATTCAATCCGCAGATTAATATAAATGATCTATTTCTTAATTTCTAGGTGATAATTTACCAGAATCACCAAATCCTCGGTAATCAAAGGTCACAATATCAGCTGTTGGAAGAGCTACTCGTAATGCCTAAATAATGCTTAGCATGTGAATATTATGATATCAACGACGACTTAAAATATTACAGCAATAAAAAAGCTCTACCTTATATGTCATGACTCTATTTTCTTTTCCGCGATTCCCTATAATATTTATAACGTGAAATTCAACGATATATTTAGAGTAGTATTCATTTTAATTGGATAAATAAAAATTCACTTACCAACTTGACCATGAAAATATATTATTACTAAATCAGCCTTTTTCATTCCATTATCGAATAACGAGTCATGCTGATATTCACCTTTTGATGCTTCTATGCGAAGTGAAGGAAGCATACGTCTTAGGTTGTGACGTGATAATATATGCCATACTCCTGTTAAATTAATGAAAATGATTATTACCGTGCACAAATTGCAAATAACATCAATTAGTTTAGAATTGAGTCAGAAATAAGTACCTAATTTTAAATTGTCGGGCGTTGTCAAGGTAATATGACGCGCGGAGAACGCTATTTCGGAGAAAAACTTTGTGTGAATGAAGGAAATCTGCCAACCGATTAAAAGGTGAAATATACCTTGCAACCCGAAAACTTCGGGTTTATCAAGCTCAACCCTGTGTGGAAAATTTAGAAAATGCGCGAATATAAAATAGCTTTGAAATTTTGGCGACCATACAAAATATCCTAGGGCAAGCTTTATTAATGCGTATATTTTGAGTAAAATAGCGAATGAAAAAGGAAAGGTGAGAAAAGGTCAAGAGTTGTCACATACCAAGTACAGGGAGAATAAACTAAATAATGTTAGTAGAGATAAGAAGGTAAATAAGATAAGTAAATGTATAAGGAACATTTTTAACGTTAAGAAACCTTACAGGAATATAATAGGGTCATTGCGGAATTTTTAAAGTGTGATAAGCTAAGTTATATTGAATAAACTTTCAGACGTAGATTACGTAGATTACAAGTGATTGGATCAAATAAAAACTTTGTGCTATTCTCACGTGTAGATGCATTTCGGGGAATTTTGATTACCATACATTATCAAAAATTGCCGTATTTTGTAGGGAATGAATGGACTTATTTGACTGGCAAACTTATTTTCTTGCCAACATTTCTATTTTATCAGAAAGCTGGTCATCGCCCCTTTCTGAAACTACTACCTCACACATGTCTATAGCCAATAAAAACCTGACACGTTCTGCAACAACACCTTCGAGCGGCGGTAATAGTGCTGCACTCGTTTCTCCCGTAGACTTTTTATCCAACACGCCTACCAGTATAACTCGTGTCTTAACATACACTTCACCATTAGTACATTCATTTTCGCATTTTCTATCGCTAGTAACTTGGCAAACAAATAATCCTTCAGAATCATGCTTATTGGTTGCTGCCTGGTGGACTATTTGTTTATTTCCGAGGGAACTTCTAGTTTATGGAACTCATATAATGTTAATTGGATGGATTGGTTGGCGTTGGGTAGAAAAGGGAAAGCGTGAGAGGCTTGGTAAAAAAATTTTATTACGCATTTATTCATATATAAATTCATATTGAAGCTATTATTATTATTATTGTTGTTGTCGTCGTTGTTGTTGTTATTATTATTAAAAGGTAAACCTAATTCGGTTGCTCGGTCGGTTTCACAACTTGATTTAAATCAGACGGTTGAAGAAATTCAAAAAATTTCCGAAAAGCTCACCGATTTTCATGGATTTGTCAAAGACATAGATTTAAGCGTTGATTGGTCAAATCCCTCACAGACACAAATTGTTATACTGGGTCTTTTATACTCTTATCCAGTTTGGATAGTTTTGAATTTCTTTATATCGCTTAAATGGATCTTTCTCGTTACTGGAACTGTTGTATTGGTATGGAATGGTTCATGGTTTAGAGTCATAAGATATTCATTGATGCAATCTCCCTTGTTCCGTGGAACAATAAGCTTCTTGATTGGATTTATATGGGGAGGTCGATTGAAACAAGAAGGCGTTCGTGGATTCTCTGTAGCCTCTTTGATACGTAAAGCCAAAGAGCAACAAAAGAAACGTATCGCGAGGAAAGCATCAAAAGATGATTCAAAGACATCCACCACTGATCTCATTTTTCGATTTGTTCTATACGAAAATCAACGTTGGTGGTTGGGTCTTGACTGGACAACCAATTTATTCCCTAATGAAAGACCTCCTTGGTACTTTTTTATCTGAATGAGTTTTCGCGTGCAAACATACATAAATAAATTATTTATTTTCTTAACAATTAACAGGTCTGATGAATATAATGAACCTACCAATAATAAAAATTCTTTCCAGCTTCCTCCACCAACAACAAGTCTAACCGCATCTCCAAACGAGCCTAATATGCTTATTCGCAAGACTGAGGAATGGCGTTGGGCTGATTCTGATTGGTGGATAGATTTCGAAGGAGATGTAGATAAGGATGGTTGGGAATATGCCGATAACAGATGGAATAGTTTTTCGTCGAAAGGTGGATTTCGTAAATACACGCGACGGAGAAAGTGGGTGAGAGCTGCAAAGATGGTCGAAACTATTGAAAAGTTTCAAAACCCATCGAATGAAACTGTAGCACAGCCAACAAACAATGAGGCATCATCATCAACAACTTCATTACCATCAACTCTACCTTCAACTTCTCCAACTTCAACATCAGCATCAAAACCAGATCTGAATAGTCGTCTGTCACATGATGGATATAGCGGTGTCAAACAATTACCAAGAATTTCAAGGGGGCCTGATGGAAAATTTGAACTAAATGGAATTCAGAACCTAAATCCGGTAGTAACGCCAAAGAGTGATCTGAATGGAGGAAGTAATACAATTGTTTATGAAAGACAATTTTAATAGTTTTTTAGGTGATTAGATCATAACCACCACACGTATCTTTATTGTGATTAGGCTATATTTGGATTAACCGTTTTTTTGGAAATGTTAATTAATCTAATAAAAGTAATTTTCTGTGTATATTGCATAAAACGTGCTACGTTATTTAATGATCGACTGCATCTCATTTAAAAAATTTCCCAACCAACCACTTCATTATTTTTTTTCAAAAATATCGTAGATTTTAAAAAAATATGGTGCACGAGACATTAAACTTGTAAGTTTATCATTTATTAGAAAAGGAGGATGACGTTAATGTTTAGTATTAGAGGGCTGATTCTTGAGTCTTATCCTTTGCCAGATACGTGAACAACGACGCATATACCCTTGTGCCATCATTTTTAGATCCCTCCACCCTCACACAAAATTTGGTTATCAATCGAGATACTGGAGGTTTTAGACTTGATAGAACTGGTATATTCTTTTTAAATTTTGGACGGAATACCTCAAAATTTGATGGAAAATTAATTTGTTTGATTTTTGTTCATTTCAATAAATAAAGCGCCAGAACCATCATCACCCACCGCTCAGGCAGAAGTTATTACAGTATATGGAATTTTTGGAGTTATTAAATTAATTTCTGGTATGGCCTATTTTAAACAGACGCATAAATCTTAAATTGACTTTTCATTATTCACACAATTTCACAATTTAAATAGGTGAATATTTGCTGGTAATCACTGAAAGAGAACGCATCGGTAGATTGGGAGGGGCACATGATATATTTAGAGCAAAGCAGATAAGAATACTTCCGATTAGCCGGCATACCACTTATTTAAGCGAAAATCAGGTTCAAGAAAATTAACTTTCTAATCATAACCACATAATAAAAAAATTTTAACAATTTCTTTATTATCCCTTTAGATAAAAGACGAAGCTCGCTTTCTGGCTTTAATTGACGCCCAACTCAAAATTGACGCATATTATTTTTCGTACACCTACGATTTGACTCAAACTTTGCAAAGACAAGCCCAATTTGGAGATTTGGCAAATAAGCCGTTATGGGAAAGAGTGCGAATTCTTTATTATTGAAAATTGCTGTTTATGCACTTTTTATTATATGATTGACATTAATTATCTCGTAAAAATGAAAATGAACACAGGCAGACCAAAGATTTTTTTGGAATCGTTACCTTCAATCGAAACTTATCGATATTACCGAACAAGGCAGTGATCAAAATGTAAGTTGAAGACACCAAATTTAGCATCACTAAACATAACTAATTATACTTAAATATTCTCGTAAAAGTTGAGTGATTATATTCTGCCCGTAATGTTTGGCTGTAAGTAGAAAAAGTTATTCGATTTAAATTTATATTATTGACTGATTGTGTTTTTACAAACCTTAGTTGTGGAAATTACCCCTGCACGAATTAATAACAGGGATATACTATTTATCCTGATATCGCGTCGAAGCAGGTTCCGGGTCGGCATGTATCAATAGATAGCATTTTGTGTTTAAAGAGGTTCGCATCATAATTCTAGACGCTCACAAGTTATTAATTTTAGGCACACGTTTCTTTTCGCGTGGTATTGATGCGCAGGGTAATGTCTCAAATTACAATGAGACTGAACAGATAGTGTTATTGGATCCCATTCGCGATGGTTATCCAACAGGAGCTTTTGAAGGAAAAATCAGATTGTCATACGTTCAAACACGAGGTTCAATTCCGATTTACTGGTCACAGATCGGCAATATGAGATACATACCAAAATTACAAATAATGGATTTGCCTCATAGTGTAAGCACGCTTTCACAAACTTGATAATATATATATGTATACATATAAAAAATATTTACATTGTTACTTATTTATATAGAATGAAGCTACTCGTCGCCATTTTGATGAACAAATTAAAATATATGGAGAACAAATATTAGTCAATCTTGTAGACAATAAAGGATATGAATATCCAATGGCGGTGACCTACGAGAATACAGTCAGACGTCTTAATGATCCACGGTTGCATTATGTACACTTTGATTTTCATCACGAGTGCCGTAAAATGCGCTGGGATCGAATTCAAATTCTTATTGACAGAATCGAAGAAGAGTTACTAAAACAAGGGTATTTATTAATAAATTCTAATTAAAATGCTAACAAAATAAATCACCTGACTTCGGGAAATTTTTATGGTGATATTTTAGATATTTTTATTCCGAACAGACAAACTCTAATGCTCATATTCATCGGTTACAAACTTCGGTTGTACGCACTAACTGCATGGATTGCTTGGATCGAACAAATGTGGTTCAATCTGCTTTGGCTAAATGGGTTTTGACCCAACAATTGAGAGAGGTTGGCGTCTTAAGTAACAAAGAACGAATCGATGAAATTCCTGAATTTATGCATCTATTTAGAAATGGTGGTTGTCAATTCTTCTTGGCTATCTATTTTTTTTTGTAAATACTTATAAATTTCTATTCTCAATTTACTAAGTTTGGGCTGATAATGCTGATGCAGTTAGCATTGCATATTCGGGTACTGGAGCTCTGAAAACAGATTATACACGGTAAGTTCTAGTAATTTCAAAGTTATTTTCGCAATTAATAGGAATTTAATGTCGATCTTATGTTTTAGTACTGGTAAACGTGGTGCAGCGGGAGCAATACAAGATCTCCAAAATTCCATCACGCGTTATATAAAGAATAATTATATGGATGGTTCTCGACAGGTACTTCAATTCGAAGTTTTCAAATATCTTAGTTTTTTTTAATTAATTTATTTCCTTTGTTACATAGGACGCGTTTGATCTCATATTAGGGAATTATATGATCTCTAGTCACTCATCTCTCATTGATACTTACCCAGCCTATGTAAAAGCTGTAAGCTTCCATTCCAAATTTTTTATTCATACTTTTCTCAAATTTTAAATAACGTTTGTTAATTTCTTAATTTACAGTTCCCGAAGGCTATATTTATTCTAATAATGTTATCGATATTTACATTGATCGTTCCTCAATCAGAAGGTAGATATTAATATTCTAGTAAACTGACAGACATACAAGAAGACTAAATTTAATTAAATAATTTAATTTTTCAATAGCGTATCCTAACTTGAATCGAATACTTTTCTGGGGAACTATATTTTTGGCTATCTTTCTTATTAATTTCGTGATGAAAAATGGATCTGATTTTATAGATTGGCCAATTCTTGTGCCACCAGAGTATCGGCATTATCAAGGCCCTACTATTACTGCAGATTCACTGAAATTCTCGCAGAATCGACGTCAAAGTGAATTAATGGAATATGGCGAAAAGATTGAATTGCAAAAGATCGAGTAGTTATTTGTATAAAAATTAAAGATCATGTGATGTCAATGCAATAAAAGAACATGAATCCTTATTGGATGAATTTGTAACATTAAAAATCAGCTTGAATTTTTTTATTTCTTCGCTCATCGATCATGCCATTTACTTCGTCGTCCACGAACCAGCCCTCCCCTGTTCCTCGACCAACCTTTTCTAGTCTGTACCTCCGACTCTTTAAGAAACTTCTTCAGCCACGGTACCTAGTAGTCGTCCTAATTACGACAATTGCCTTATTAGCAACCACTATTGCTCTGATTGAAGTGCAAGAAGAAAACGAAGACGAAGAGGAAGAGGCTGCTCGCGACGAATAAAAATAAATTTCCATTATAAAACATATCATAATAAATACTTCTGCGATACATGTCATCCTTTGGTGAGCTTACTCAATTTAACAACAATAGTGGACGTGGATGTGGGCTGTTGACGTCGGAAATTTGGAGTAATGCCATAAATACTTTACTCACGGCACTCGGTTAGTGCCCTCAATCTGTCAAAATCCGTCAAATACGTTTAAATTAGGGGTTAATTTTCTACGTGTCAAAATCTCTGCGATACCTTAGAGAACATTTTTTTGGACGAAAATGGTATGCCTTTGAGGCCGCGAGATTCAGACGCAAGTATGGATTCTGTGCTACGCTCAAGAAGACTTTCCATGTGTATGTAATCTGTGCGTCACCTTCTTTTAACATAATCAAAAATAAACCTAGTACAAATTCTCCTACACTTTATTTATCACACAATTTCTGTTTGTTGAAATTAGCCAATCAGATGGCAGAAGAAGTGCCTTATATTGCTTTGACACCCTTAAAAAGGAAACAGTCAGTGGAAGAGGATGAACGTATAGTGAAATCCCAAAGATGCTCACTTGATTTATCATCACAACTTGCCAGAGTTCTTAGAATAAATAATAATTCTTGTGAAGTTGCTGATGATGAATTATCAAAGGCTGACATTCCAATGTCTAGTTCTTCATCTTCCATTGCCCATCGTCCTGTCAAATCGTGCCCTCGTCTTATTCACAAGCATCTTCGATCATCAAATGTTTCCAACGAAACAATTGATGTGGAAATGATTGACATTGTGACTGTTGATGATCAAGAGCAAGTGACAGAAGAGCCAGCAAATATTCCCGAACGTATCAAAATGTATCATAAAATTGTATCTTATGTAAATGAGGAACTTTGGGCTTCTTCATTATCTTTTAATATGTCGAATTGGTTTGAGATTCAAGCAAGAAAACGTGAAATGACAATGGAACAATTTAATAGAGAATTTCATGAGCGAATTCTTGAATTAAAATCAACACTCTCACTTTTACAACAAAGGATTCCACACGATTATCACGAGATTCTTGCTACAATTGATAGATTCTTAATAAATGCAGATTGGCTGAGAAATGACTACTCTATTCCTTTCACGGTAAGATTTTTTAATGTCACCTGCTTCCCAAATTAATATAATCTACAATAAGATAAATCATTATTAGCAAATATTTCCGAAATGGCATGGAATGGCTCGAAGTGTGGAGGACGTCGTTCAATATGTCGAAATTGTAGAAGATATGAAAGCTTCCGCAAAATTAGAATTTCCTCAAACTGGAGACCTTAAATCAGATCTGGAAAAAGCCCAAGAGATAATGCATACGAAAAAATATTTATATGGCGAAATATTACTAGAATCTGGATTAAGATGGCGAGTGAGAGGATATCCTGTTCAGGATTCTTTAATTGATCGTACAAAACGATGGTTATTAGATTGGAATAGCCGATTTTTGTCAATTATCAATATTAATTTGAACAAGTACCATGATAATGCAGTTGATGATCCACGGCTTGTTCAGGTATTTTTTTTGTTTCATTGAGTGATAATTGTTATTAGATGAGCTAATCACTATAAATCTTAATTTAATAGTTGATGGCAAATATAATGCTTTTCTTAAAAATTACAAAACAAACTGTAGAGTTGACGGGAATGCCTAATGATAAACTCAGTTTATCTAGTATTTATTTAGCAACTCATTATGTTTATTGGGCCCTTTCACAGATTGACAAATTGGAACACAAAGTCGTGCGAAGCTTCGAGGTGAAGATTATGCACATATGCGAGAATATCAACTTGATTCTTCATTATTTACGTATTATACAAAGTACCGATATGGATAGACCAATCCCACATAATCATATAAAAGTTATTGAAGATTTTATCGCTGTAATGGTAGAGGCAGGTTTGAGGCTTTGCGAACATGTAATTAAACCAAATAATAACCTCACTATTGGCGCCGAAAACTTTGGATATATTTATTCGGAATTTGTAATGAAATTCGTTAACAAGGTTTTTTATTTACAATGTCATGATTTTTGGATGTTCAAATATCGTCTTTACTCATTGTATATTTTTCTGTGGCGTAGTTGATTGAATATGCTGGATATGAACAAAAAGCGGAAGCAAGAATGCGTGTTCTGATTAATTCTCTTCGAAATATGGAATCTTCACTATCATCTATTTGATTATCAAAAAGAAACTTGCTTTCTATTTTAATCTAGTGATCCTTTCAATTTCATTTCTGAATATTAATAAAGACAAAACACAGCATTTGTAATAATTAAGTCAACGTATTTTATATAACTTGTTCTGCAAATTCATTTAGATCTTAAATTTTCACTTTTTTTATATATATATTGTAAGTATAAAATAATTACAATTAAAAAATTATTATAATGAGCTCAGAGTATATATATTATTTAATAAAATACTAATATATATTTATTTTAATATAAGTCATTTACTTTTTATATATAATTATAAATACTATTATTAATCTGTTTTTTATTATTACTTAATTAAATTATTCATATACTTAGGAGAGTTTAATAAAAATATACTTATTTGAAAAATGCAAGTTAAAATAGTTTTCTTAGCTCAAGGAATTAAACAAGCTAATACAAGTATAATATGCTATTATCTTCTTGACTGAAGTAGTCTTATATTAATATTTGAATAGATATAAGACTAATAATATTATTATAGCACTAAGAGATATATTTTAATTATCATATTTAATATTTTTATAAATAATTATATTTTCTTTATTAAACAGAATCTATATAAGATTATAACATAAAATTCAGAAATATAATTAATTAAGTTACAGATATGAGTAATCTAAATCAAGTCATATATCTTATAGAAGATTTAAATCTGATATTAAAATAAAAATTAGTTATTAGATATCAAAAACTTTAAAAAAAGCTTGAAATTAGTTATATATTATAATACTATTATATATAAACAAGACAAAACTCTAGATATATCAAGTAAATATAATAATAATAATTATTACTTATAGTAGAATAATAGTTTTATATTAATAAAATTAAATCAAATCAAAAGTTATTATAATAATAATAATTAAAAAAATAATAAATTCAAAGATATATATTATAATTATGAAAAATCTAGTCACTTCACAAAGAATTATTATTTAAAATTAAAGATTAAGAATATTAATATAGAAAATTTATAAAAAGAATTTTCAAATTAAATAAAAGAGTAAAATTTGTATATCTAAAAGATAATTATGAGAAATTATTAAAGTTTAATAGTTAAATAAATGGCAAACTAGCATGAATATTACTAGATAATAACATATCAAGAAATTTTATTGATGAAAGATTTGTATAGGCTAAAAATAATATTATATCTTAGTTATAATTCTCTGATTAGCTATTATAATTAATCATAATTCTCTAATTAACTATTATAAATTATAATTAATTGAGATAATATCTTTAGTATAAATTAATAAAATAAAGATTTAAAAGATAATATTAGCTATAGTAGAACTTACAGATGATAAAAAATTTATAGTTATCATTATAATTAAAATTAATAAGTTAAAATTAAATATCTATAAAATATATAAGTATTAAAGTTATAAAGATATAATCTTATTCTAGATAAATCTTGATTATTTTATATTAATATAATTATAAATTAAAGAAATAATATTATTATCTTTATCTATAATTAAAGATAATTAAAGTATAAGTAGATAATGAAATAAAATCTAACTCAAGTTATAATTTAATTTATATCTTAAGATAGCAAATTACAAATCTATTAGTAAATATAGAACTTTTTATCATTCATCTTAATAATGTTAAAGATAAAGAAGAAATAAAAAAGAAATCATTATTATTCAAAGTATTAAAAATTAAGAAAAAGTATAAAAATATATTTTTTGAAATTTTATCAAATTAATATTACTCAAGAAAGTAATTAGTCACAAAATTAATCTTATTTTTAATTTTGAATTATCATTTAAACTAATCTATAAATTATCTTTTATAAATATAGATAAGTTTAAAAAATAATTAGCTAATTTAATATAAAAAGATTTTATTTATTCAAGTATTTTATCTTTTGAAATATCAATTTTATTTATATATAAAAAAAGAAATATTAAAATTATATATAAATTATAAAATTTTAAATAAAATAACTATTAAGAATTATTATTTATTATTTAGAATTGATAAGTTGATAAATAAACTTATAGATTTAAAATACTTCTCAAAATTAAATTTATACTTAAAATATTATCAAATATACATAGTTGAGAAAAATATATATAAAATTATTTTTAGAACTTGTTATAATTACTATAAGTTCTTGATCTTATTATTTGATCTTACTAATATATTAGTCATCTTTATAATCTTAATAAATAATATTTTTTATAATTATCTTGATAAGTTTATAATTATTTACTTAGATAATATCTTGATATATACAGTAGTGATCAAAAGTAATGACTCAGAGGCTAAATTTACTAATAAAATATAGTAAAAATTGAAATTTTCTCTCTATATAAAAATTTATAATTTTAATAAGAAATATGGTTGGTGCAAAAAGATTTATATCTCAGATAAATATTAATAAATTATTTTTTTAAAATAAAATTTTAATTCTGTCTTATTTAATTA